ATTTAACTGCAAAAAGAAAATAACAATGAGTTTTCAAATGTGTATCTGCAATATCCAGTAGCTGTCATATTTGCCAAAATAGTTTACATTAAGCACACATATAAGCGTAAGCATGCACTTAACTGCTTGAACAGGAGGGCTTGCCCTTGCCTGCTAGTCTCTACCACTGATACATAATCATTTTTCCTAGCTTTGGAAAAAAAAGCCAAAACTCACTTCTGTTGAGATCACCACGAAATACTCGAGCGAGTAACACTCGCTCCTCTGGAATACAGAGGAGCCAGTAATTCCTACATTCATTGCAGCAACACAGTTCAAAGCAGGAGGCCCCTGCTCCAACCAGGGGGCAAACAAACAAGTGGAGATACCATAAYGGACACAAGGTCCCTGTGCAGATAAAACACAAAACTTGACTTCCAAAACTTCACTCAGACAAGGAGAAAAAAGAAAACAGGCGGCAGCAAATTAAGCACGTGGACCCTGCAGCAGGCCACAGGGATATAAGGCCAGAGGGAACCCGGATGAGAGAGCACTTAAGGGACAGAAAGGGAAATACTGCTGAAAACAGGAGAAAAACAGCTGGTGAGGGAGGAGATCTGTACAGGGCTGTGCAAGTCTTTACCAACACTGTCTATGAAGCACCGAGGAAGAAATTGTTCATGAAAAACAAAAACAACAACAAMAAAAAATGAGAAGAAACAAAACAAAAAAAACCCCAAACCAACCAATCAAGCAACCCCCCCACAGCTCCCAAAGCTGGTATTTACCTTATATCAAGGCTCCTGAAGGAAAAAAAGAAAACAAGAAAAAGATTTGGGTAAAGCAACTTCAGTCATGTTGTTTGCTACTTTAAATCTTACTCTACTCTCTTCCACGCTGGCTGTTTTTTAAGCAATCAATCTATTTCTTGCCAGAAAGCTGCATCTGGAGCTCCACAGTATTAGAAGCAATTATTTAGCTGCCTGCACGGCTTCCATTTATTGAACAGTTTTTCTTTATTCTTGTGTGCCTGGAGGAGGAGGACATCTGAGAGTACAAGGGTATGCTGAATGCTGACTATTGTTATTAGTATAAAGCCTTTTTCCAGCAACCTAGTTTTAAACTCTGTGCTTCAGGTTTGACACATTGGAGAATCACTGTGTGTGCATATGGCACAATGTGGGTTTCTCCACCTGCTTGAAGAATCACTTTATTACSAGTGTTCCAAACCAATAGCTGTTCTTCAGCATTTTGTTTCAAATTCTCAAGAATATCATTCCAGAAATCCCACGTGTTCTGCATCAGCTGAAAGTCAGAAACACTCATGTTGTTTGCATGAGGCTGCCCAGGACCCAGTCCTTCAAGCTTTCTGAAGACCAAGCAACGTATATGAGCTAGRCCCTTTTTTCCTGACATGCATTTATTTGGTAAGAAATTTCAGAAAGGAGGTCTAAGAAATTGAAGACTCTSTTTGTTTACTTACGAATTTGTGTCATCTGATATCTTTATGATGTCAGATCTGTTGTGCTGATGATGTCTTATTATCTRTCCCTATTTTTATTTGCAGGTTACAGCAGACTAAGAAGCAGCAAGCTATCAACAAGGCAAACTCAGTCTCAAAAATAATGCAAGACTGTAGACTTCAAAAACATTTCCCACTTACATCTACTTAGAAACATACCCAATAGRAAACCGATGTAAATATGGAAATGCCTCCTACTGCAGAACCCCTCTATGAAGCTTTCAGCAAACTTCTTGATCCACAGCAAGACTGGCTTTTAAGTCTTTAGCCTCTTTAATATTCCAATCTGTTCTGTTACTGTGCATTGCATTAGGTATCTTGCTATGAACATTTAAGAAGGCTCAGAGGAAATTACGGGTATGGGATTCAAGGAAGATTTCCTGCCTGTTAATTATTGCTAATTGACACTTTCCTGGTAGTTTCTTGGTGGAAGGAGACAACCTGTTCTGGAAACTGCACTGAGAGGGAACAGTAACTGTGATGGTAGCTGTCCAGGATAGTAGCAGATTTATTTCACAGAACTGTTGTAAAAATAGGAGAGAAAAACAAAAGGCCATCCAGGTATATTCTCTATCTTCAGTAACATTGGGCATGTAAAAAAAAAAAAAAAAGGAGAAATTGGGATTTTCACAATGAAAATTTGAAACAGTGGCTTCCAATCTACTCTAAAAAAAAGTAAAAAAAATAAAAATAAATCTGTGTTTTAGAACTTTTAAACGTGAGTATAAGTGTCTATGCTTGCTCTTTCTTGCATATACCCACAAAAATTTTGCAAACACTTGTAATTTTAGTAATTGCTTGTTCACATTTCCATATGCAACTCAGGCTTTTCTGCCTTTGATAAAATGTTTCTCACTCCAAAACCCAAGGACCACATCAAGACTTCACAACTTCTAGTTAAAAATAAGTAACAAAACACAACAACATTTAACCAAAAGGAAACTGAACCCCAAACCATGAGCCACCATTTCCTATGACAGACGAATTCCTCAGAGCAGGGATGCTGACCCGTTATCTYAGGCCTCAGCAGAGCTCATATCCTGCAGCTTAACAGGAGTGTCTTGCCTGATACAATGCTCTACCGTCATGGAGACACTAAATTTTAATGCCACTTTTTGACAAGACGATATTTAAAATTCTAGATGCACTCAGAAAATAAAAAACAACCCAGTTTTAATGATTCTTTACTAAAGTTAAAAAACCACTACAGTAAGATAATAAAACAACCCCAAAACCTAGCCCTGAACCTGAAGACTTGGGAGGCAGGGAAAAGTGACACTTAACCATCATTTTTAGGAGCAGTCACATCAATATCAATACATCTTGAAACTGTAGTTTTCCAAACTATTGTGGAAAACAAATAGTGTGCTATAAATACACTGTTACTCAAACTTTGAGATATTCTCTCCAGAGATAGGATTTCCTGATAGGAGATTCAAATTAATAGGAAATGCCCTTCCTGTGTTTTCTAGGCTGAGAGACTAATGAGTTTGTTTTCAACAGACTTAAAAAAAAAAAAAAAAAAAATTCATTGCTTTAAAATGACTGTGTCTACAAAGCATAAAAGTAGTCCTCAGCAGTCTGGCATGACTGAACAGCAAATCTGTTTTCCACTCTACTTCCAGACAGAATTTTTAAAGAAACTGTGTCTAGAACCTATTATTTGGGGAGTTGTACTTTATTCCACATGTGGGCCTATTAAAATTGGCAAGAATGCTTGTGAAATAGCAGAGTGCAAACACAAACTCAGTTTCAGGAAAGTATTCTTGCATAAAGTGAAATGGAAAGGCCTATGAATATACAGCTATGCCACATCTCAGTAACTGGCTTCCCCTATGAAAAGAACATTCTRTATAAATCACACAAAAATATTCCATATAAATTCAATAGAAAAACTGAACAGGAACCATAGATTATGTACACTGTAGTACAAAATTATAGAAAAAAAAATCCTGAGTTATAATTCAGATTCCTAAATACTACAGCAAAACAGCAGTCTATATCAATTCTGAAGAAAAATGTGTCAATCACATAATCAAWCAACTTCTCAGATATGTCAAGAAATCGAGTGTCTATGTACAGCAAAAACATGGAGCTAGCAAGCTGAAATACACATACATAAATTTTTTAAAKTAAAAAAATTCATATTTTGATTTTTAGTTTCTGTGAGGCAAAAGGAAACCTGATAGCTCCAGCACTCAGTCATTCAAGGAAGTTCATTTCAACATTCTCTCATTTACTATTTAAGACAAGTTTTTCCAAATCTTTAAATGGCCTTAAAAACAAAAAACAAACATAGAAAAACTGAGAACATGCCCACATTAAAGAAGGCTAATTATATGGATTTTTACAGCAGGATCTGCCTAACTTGCCACTGAAAGACCAGGCTCATGCAGTATTTTTTGGTTACTACACCATTATGTCATTGACAAAGTAATGAACAGCTGCAGTGACACTGGTTGACCTGAATGGAGAAAAAAAGTGTTTTTTAACCTGGTAGTAAGCTTCATCCTTCCTGCTTCTAAATAACATGCCTTAAAACATGTACTGCAGTTCAATTTTCATCTTTAAATTTGAGATATTTAAACACAATAGACTTCTATCCTAATACTAATTTATTTGAACCTCTTATGTATATTTTTTCATCCAAAAATAACTATGTGCCCTTTTACAGGTTTCAAAGCAAGGTGAACCTTTCACTTATGAGAGAATTTAACCTGTCAGTCACAGTTACTGATAATTTGTCAACACTAAAAATCAACACTGTTATCAAAAAGATACACTGCTCCCACGGCAAATAGTGGGAGATGTAGCCATGTAATTCTGTGCCTTCCCATGCAATAAGTCTCCCTTCTATTCAACTAAATATTAAGCATTTCACTGTCCTACAAGGAATGCTTTAAATGTTTTATCTTTCTTTAAACAGGCTAATGTAAAACAAGGGAAGAAACTGGATTTGTCAAAGATAAATCTTAAAAATGCTTTAAATGTGTTTTCCTCCTTCTAAATTTCAGCGAAGCCATCAGTGTAAAGTGATCTTTCTTGTCTTAAGGCTCACACATGACAGACATCCCCAACTATTTTTCAATTAATTAGAACTTTTTTCCCAAGCAGTATTAATGGCAAACGCTAAGCAGCACTGGAAAGTACAAGAATGGTTCAACTGTGCTCTGGTCATGCATGGGCTGGGAGGAAAAGGAAAGAGATGACTAAAGCCACAGGCAAACACCAGCCTGCCCTTAGCCTTCTCCCCATGACAAATCCCACAGACACATTGGAGGAGTTATCTCATCTCCTCTGTTTGGTCAGGGCTGMGCCAAGGGCAGAGAAGTGGAAAAAGCTGTTTTCCTCTAAACTTTAAATAGAGTGCAAGTCATATGCCATGCATAGTTTTTAGAGATCCTCCATACGCTTCCTAAAGATAAAAAATAGAAATAAATAAAATAAAAAGAAAAAAAAAAAGAAGAGCTTCAATTACAGAAACTTGCAAAAATCTCACCTTATTGTGCTCATACTTGTATGGGATTTTGAGGGTATCCATGGCTCTGATCATGGCCTGCATTGCTGTAAATATATTCTGGTACACCAGTTTCGTAAAGCCCCTTTTGTCTTCATCAGAGTAACCTGATCCATGAATGATTCTCATCTGCTTGATGAACGTGCTTTTGCCACTCTCTCCCGTTCCTGCAAGAGAAGTGAGAAGGACACACTTCAGTCACTGGACAAACTGCTTTCCTGCACACAGCAGACAGCTTGTTCAGAGCAGGACAGAACAGTGTCAAGTGCCCTCACTGTTTGCACAGTAACTGCAAGACCAGCTCTGTGTCAAAACAGCAGTAACGCACAGTAACAACCAAACCAACACCGAATTACAACTTGCATTTGGAGAACAAAATAGGAATAGTAAAAGTACAGCAATGAGAAAATAATTAAACTAATAACTAAAACAAAACAAAACAAAACCCACAAACCAGAATATTGCRCACTGAAAGCTGTAAGACAACATTTCTGTTCCTGAAGATAAAATTCTTAGCAACATCTAACTGTGGTGAATTATTATCACAARAATTCAGAAACTTATACATATTATCTTAGTTGGCCAGTGTTAAGGACATTACAGAAAGAAGCAATATAAAATCCTTATATAAGTTTGATTYTAGAAAGGGAAGAGGGAAAACAGTATGGCCATTACAGATCTGCAAACTTTAACCTCTGAAACAGAACAAATCAGCTATAATCAAGATACGGGTCATATTTGTTAATGGGCAGCCATTCCTTCCTTGAAAAATCTTTCTATCTAGTTGCTTCAGACAAGTACCAATGATAACTTGTTTTCAGTGAACTTCCTGAGTTGATTTAAGGAGTCGATTTGAAATGAAGACCTGCCTGTTGGAATTTCATGCAGGATATATCATGAAGGACACAGCACTTTCCTTTTGCCCTGGAAGATAGGGCATTTTTCCTTAGCCCAACTCAACAAGTTCACCCTCTGCAATGTGAAGGACTGGTCTAAACTCTAATGCTCTAACTAATGCCTAAAAAAATCATCTGCACTAAACATCATTAGAATGCAAAGTAACTTCCATTTTCGGTCAACATAATGCTTTTCCAAGAAGAAACCCAGATTCCTTCAAAGTCACAAAAAGCAAACTTAGCATGAAATGGAAAGCTCACACGCTTTCCATTTAAAGTTCTGTACTTTAAAAAAACGAAGGTTTTAATACTTTCAATTCTGTACTGCAAGTTTAAATAGTAATCAGTCAGACAAGTGGAAAGAAAAGAATGCTGATAAGGCSATTTGTTACATTAGAAAAGATAGTAGTTCAGATAACTTGTACTTTGAAAGTAGCTCTGTAGAAGTTACCATATATGAGCAAACAAAATAAAAAGGCAAAGCAGATTCTAACACATAAGGAATCTATATCGTAGTCAGCTTTTCAGTTCTTTAACTGGGGACTTTGTCAGCCAGAGAACAACCAGTTATATTTGGGGATCGAAGAGTGTACTAAAACTTGCAAACAAGATGATTTCCCAGTGCTGAATGAAGCTGCTTCTTCCCACTGATTAACCTTCTGGTTCAACTGCACCATCAGTGAGGAGCTCTCCTTAACTGCACGTAGTGTTATGCGCAGAGGGGCAAAGTTAATCCTGAGGAAAAGTGAAGTCATGCAAAATGTCCAAGGACAGAAAATACTTGAAAGAGGATAAAAGAAAAAGGCAGATACGGTAATATTTAAGGTATTGCACACACACACACAAAAACAGGAAGTGAAAATCTTCATTTCAGCACAATATGTAAGAACTTTTAAAACTTCATATTACTAGTTTCATTTAAATCGTTAAGATCAAAGGGAAGAAAGTCCCCCTTTAGATTATTTTTTATCCACTAAGTCAAGTCCTTCTGTCAAAATTTCAATTTATGTGAAAATTACAAATGGTAATATCCCAAATTACTTATATATCCTAGTAAGCGTATTCAGATACTTTCCCCCAAAATAAGGTGATTAAAAAAAGAAAAAAAAAAAAGAAAAAAAAGTCATTAACTACAAAACAACTCGGAAGAGTTAAGCACAATGAGTTACTAAGGTTGTGTTACCAAAGCTGCTCAGTGCAGGATTACCCCTACTGTAGGTCGAGGTTTAGAACTACTACTGCTCTTCCAGCACTGGGTGAAACCTGCAGGTAGTTTACGTGTCATATACATCTGTGCATACACCCCAAGCCTTTTTAAGGCGCACGACTGGCATTATGAGGAGATCAAGACCTTGACTGACTTGCTCCTTACAGAGCAAGTTAAGAAACACAACTCAGCAACATAGGCCCAAAGGCTTTCTTATCACCACAGTAAACAGTTACAGCACTGGCAATAACCTAAACAGGATTCTGGAATAGGTCTGTTCTGCTTGGTGACGGGAAGAAAACTGCCAGGTGGCTGMACACCCCTCCTGCCTGCAGGTTTTTATGCAGGCTCGTGCACGAACGCGGGTGCCTTGCAGCACCACAGTGCCAGGACACGTCCAGATGAGGCTGAGGAGCAGGGCAAAGCGCCAGGCCCGCAGCGGCACGCGGCCAGTGCTCCCACTGCAGGATTCCACCAGCAGCATCTCTGCTCACGCTGCACCCAGGMAGGGTCCCAGGATCATAGAATCATACAATTCTTAAGGTTGGAAGGGGCCTCAGAGGTCATCCAGTCCAACCCCCCTGCTCACGCAGGGTCACCCAGAGCACGKGGCACAGGGCTGCGTCCAAGCRGGTTTTAAAGATCTCCAAAGAAGGAGACTCCACAACCTCTCTGGGCAGCCTGTGCCAGGGCTCTGTCACCCTCACCTTCAAGAAGTGTTTCCTTAAGTTCCTGTGGAACTTTTGGTGCCTCAGCTTGTGGCCGTTTCCTCTAGTCCTATCGCTGTCCGCCACTGAAAGAGGCCGCCCCCTCCTCCTCACTGCCTCCCTTGAGGTGTTTATACAAATTGATCAGGTCCCCCCTCAGCCTTCTCTTCTCCAGGCTGAACAGGCCCAGCTCCCTCAGCCTTTGCTCATAGGGCAGATGTTCCAGGCCCCTGATCATCCTGGTAGCCCTGCGCTGGACTCTCTCCAGCAGCTCCACATCCCTCTGGTACTGGGGAGCCCAGAACTGGACACAGTCTCCAGATGGGGCCTCACCAGGGCTGTGTAGAGGGGGATGATCACCTCCCTCAACCTGCTGGAGACGCTCTTCTTAATGCACCCCAGGATCCCATTGGCCTTCTTGGCCACCAGGGCACACTGCTGCCTCATGGTCATAATAGCACGGGCAGCACCCCAAGCTGCCATCTGCCAGGAGAGCCTGGAGGCCACGCAATGCACCTGAGGTTTTGGTTTCCAAAACCCAAACCCACCCTGTCCCTCAGTGCTCCGGAACAGCCACCCCGGGTGCTGCCCCTGTCCCGCAGAGGCAGCAGCTGCCAGCCAGGAACGCGGCCCCGACGCAGCCAGGGTGGGAGCGGGACACAAGAGGCCACCGGCTCAGCACTCAGGCTGGACAGTCACCTCACACCTGGTACGTTCCAATCCAGGTAAAGAAAGATGCCAAATATTTCAACTAACTGTCTTCAGCAAAGGGTTTAGTTCTCTCCAACAGGGACATGCTCCCATTCCGGCAGATCATAAAGGCTTTTCAAGCTGGAAGAGTGTCAATCTAGAAGGAGTTCACAGCTTCCCACCTTACGAACTCCTGCCAGGAGCTCTCTCCTTCCAGCAGCAACACTGACCAACACTACCGCGCCGACAAGGACTTTACAGCCCGAGATCTCCCAGCGTCCCGGCAGGATCATCTCCAAGAGCACAGCCAGGAGGGCGGTCAGGTTCCACAGAGGACGCAGTAAAGACACCGCACACAAAGACCACGCACCATCTAATTCATTACGGCTACTTTTCCTGGTATACACATCTTGCAAAAAGGAAACTACAAAATGGAAAGACAACGTGTTTCGTTCCATGAAACTCACTGTAAACCTCAAAACGTGGTTCACTTTGAGCAAGTATCAAAGCAGCTCGTGGCAGAGCAGCTTCAAAATTCAAGTAGTGGCTGCCAAGAAAAATTTGGGAGAACTATGTGAAAGTGTTTCCAGATCCAGGGCCTTCTTTTTTATCACATACTGCTGCACAATGCATACTTGCAATTGCTCTCCCATTTATCTGCACTGTAATTCACACAATTCTGAAGAGCATGTGATAAAATGAGAAGTTTTCAATTAAAAAATGTCTTTCTTGAAGCATAATTCACACTGACATCTGTTAAGAGAACAAATGATCCTAAACTACACCTTGCTCTCCATTTTTTCCCCCTTAAATTTGACCAATAAAAGGACAATAAAAACAAAATTGTATTTTATTGGTTGCATTTTTTTCTCTAAATTAGATAATTCTAAAGAGAAAGAGATGAAAAGAACACCCTTAATAGAAAAACAAAGAGCAAAGGAGAAAGCTGTCAAAATCAAACACTGCAATCTTAATAACAACCATGCACATAAATTTACTAAGATTTGTTCAGCTACCAATGGACTCGTTCAGAGAAGCCTGGCTTTAGCTTTGCATCCTGCAACTACACACGGCAGAGGCACTTGGAAGGTGAGCTTATTTCTCTGAGTGGATATAACAGAGCAGCCACCATCCTGTACAGAACGGACATTTCTAGCATGACATATGTATCTGTGCTGAATGTTTTTCTGCTTGCAGTGTTACTGCACCACCACTGTTTCACCGGATATTTTATGCAGAGGTGAAACTAAGTGCGTGTTTTTAACTGCCTGGCAAACAACACTGAAAAAAACATTAAATAAAGCAAAAAAAAAAAATCTGAAATAATAAACTCATCAGGTATAAAGAAGCAATTAGTTTCTATGAGAAGAGCTAAAGCAGTAATAGGGAGGTGGCGCATGAGAAGAAAAACATTTGATTTTGACTATAAAGTTGTATTTCACTTGGAAGAGAGTTTTATGTCCTCTCTGCTACTGCTAACACAGCTAAGGAAAGCTAAACTGTGACTTTTGTTGCTGTTCCAGTGGAAAAAGGCAAAAGGATCATATTTCTGCTGAAACTGAGTATGTCCCATATGAGAACATAGAAACAGTGCGGAATTTCAACTGGCCCGGCCTGACGTCCTAGGTGCCAAGACAGGCAGGACATGCTATGAAATGCACGGGATCA